TTTTTTTTGAAATTTTCAAATTTTGACCCGGCCGGGTTATGAAAACCATTTAATTAATTTTGCATGGCCTAATATATTTCTGAGAAAATTTTTCTCATATTAAATTGCACATCTTACTCGTATAATTCACTTTAAGCCCACTTGAATCTATGCTAATAAACTGTGATTTATCACCAATACTCCACGCAGTTGGTAAAGCAAGACCATTGAACAAAGTGGTCTCTCCAATTACAACAAATTTCTATTCAGGTCTTTTATTAGACAAACGATTTATTTTAAGCGAATTATTGTCAGCAAAATATAAATCTAGTTTATATAACAGTACGTACGTACGTATGCTTTGTACATGTTACGCAATATCAGCCCATTTTTTAAATTAGAGTACGTAGTGATGGGGAAAATATAATCATGTGCATGAATGTGCATTAGCTCATTCCAAAACTTTTTAACGTGATGTCTGCATGCTGTGATCGTTAGATGTAAAATTTTTTTTGGTAATTACGTATATCGGTATCGATATTATACATGTCGATATCAATTATTGTATATTTTCTCCCTTGGCATTTATTTATTATAACTATGGATACTGTAATTGAAATTACTGTAGAAACCCCTTTATTTTCGCATAATTGTCCTATAGTATAGGCGGTACGATAAATATTATAGCTAAATAAATTTATCGGATTTAAGAGAATGTAAAATATAATAAAGAAATTTGTCGGATTATGACAAATCGAGTAAATGCAATTGAAGAAATATAGGAAGTGATGAAAAAAGGGATATTATGTCGTATTTAAACGTTTGAAAACATGTTAACAAATGTCAAGAATTTACTAAGAAAGTATCAAATGGGGTCTTTGCCTTAAATTTGACCTTACGGTACATGATGCCGTAGGGCCATTTTCAAGGCAAAGACCCCAAATATTAAAGGGTATAAAAAAAATATATTAATGCAAAAGAAGTTAAAAGTAAATATGCAAAAGGATATGTAAGATCTACATTTTGCTACGTATTGCTATTGCTAAGTCGATGAATTCCTAAAAAGAGACTGCTATTGCTAAGTCGATGAATTCCTAAAAAGAGACTAAGTATAACCGATAAAGAATTATTTAGAAATGTTAATTTATAATATTTTCTATTTATTTCTATTTATTTTAATATTGATGCTGAGGTTCAAGATTATAGACCTTATACAATTTAAAACAGTCAAGTGATGACTATGTGAAAGAGATTGATCCAAATGAATTAACTATATCCCAAAAAATAGTTCTACTTGTGTTATTAAAAAGTTTTATGGTACTATTGAAGTTGAATGGAAAGCTTCAAATAATCTAAATATTCCCAAAATAAGTTAGCAATTTTTGGTAAATTAAAATTCGTCATATATTCACCATTTCTATGGTCTCTCAACGTTGATATCAAAAAATTATGGGTTTAATTGGGCTATGGATCATTAAAAGATCTTTATTACGCTTTGCGTATCATAAATATTTTTCATGATAGGTATAAAAATGTTTTGGCATGTTCTATTCATATTTCTATCGATCAAGAACTTATTAAAAGTATAATACTACTGTACTAAATTTAAATTCACAAAAAAATTTTTTTTTTTTAGACGCGTTAACGTATGTAAATATATATTTTGTCGCGTAAACCAATCAAACTTCAAGCTTAACTTCATTGGTACGTAATCTAAATGCAATTTCGAAATAAGATACTTTAAAGGTTTTTTGGCGTAAGAGGATAAATATAAGTCATTTAAAAATATAAAATAATAATATTTATTATAACGAAGAATATTAAGATACAATCGTTAGCTTAGAAACGAAAACTGTCTTTTCTTACAAAACATATCCATGAGTTCATATGCGCTGTAACTTGCTGATTCATTAATTAAATCATTACTCTGAAAATTTTCTGACATTACACTTGACCGATACTGCTAACAGTTATTGATATGACTATAATCAGAAATTTGTAATGTATTCGTAATAAAAATACCCCGATCACTATATCAAGATCACGGGGTATTTTAGTTCTAATCGGTCCCGACCGGGCCCAAAAATTGCTAGTTTCAGAGATGATTTTTCCAACGCAAGTTACTAACTAACTAAATAATTTATAATAATTTTTTAACTGGGATTACTTACCGGAAATAAATGAAAATCTTTTAAAATATAGTGTTGGGACGGGCCCCATGTCCGATCCAGTCCAAGATGGTCCCGACAAAATTGTTGCTTTTTTTAATAGAATTTTTTTTAAAAGCTGTTAATAAACTTAGTTTTTCAGTAGAGTAGCTTTAAAATCTTAACTATCCGAAAAACTATTCGATCCTATATGGATATTAACTAAAACTATCTGAAAAAATGATTATCCGTCAAATTATTGTTATCATTAACAATTCATTGTAATTTTTAAAAATCTGTTATATACACCGTATTTTGCTAAATCAGATCATCAGTAGCTATGATGAATATATGGGATAATCTGAAATAAGACTCCATGGTATGGTGAATTTACATTCGAAGACGATTTAAATTAGCAAAAATTTATCTTGCCGTCCCACCAACATCTACCCCAATCGAATATTTGTTCAGTGATGCCGGTAACTTAATGACATCAAAGAGAACCCAGAACTTTTAAAAGAATAATATTTCAAAAAGAAACATCGTAAAACATCATCATAAATAATTATTAGATAATACGTTAATATATTAAATAAAATATGCTATTTATTACAGTATTTAGCATTAGTTTTTTGTTATATAAATAATATAATTGTAAGCTTGAATTATTTATTGTGGTGAATTATGCTGAAATTCCGGCCCGAATTATCAAAAAATTTTTGGACCGATTGGCCCGAATTATGAATTAATTAATTAATTTTATATTATATAAAAATATAAAGTTTTTTAAAATTTGGCCCATTTCCGTAAACAATCAGCTGTTTTCATTATTTTTAGGACATCTGAAAAATTTTTTATGGTCGAGCCGTTAAGTTACCCAGTCGGAATCAATAAGTTACTGACGCCGGCCAACATCAAGATTCGGTCAATAATTTTTAAAATGATCCAAAAATAATGAAAACAGATGTAATTGAATATTTTTTCATAGCTTATACCGGGTTAGTTAAAAGTTCCTAAACAGGACCTTTTTTTGCTACCTCTGCTAATATTAAACGTTGCTTATAAATTTATATACTCAAGTAAGTGAAAGTGTTAATCACTAAATGACGTATCATGTAGATTTATAAAAAACCTATTATTAGCAGAATAATAAAAAGGTCCTGTTTAGAGACTTTTAATCAACCCGGTATAACATTTCAGCACAATTCCCACATTTATTATTATTATATTGCGATAGAGTTATCAATGTAAAAATAAATATGTTATCCGGCAGGTACTATGTAAACACTGATGGAAAAAAAAGTTTCACATTATTTCCGTAAATTCTTATTAATTTTAATATAAAAATCTGCGGAAGTAATATAAAATTCATTCCGTAAGTGTATATGTTATACCTGCCAGATAACAAGAAATTATTCTTTACATTATCGTTAAAATCTTTCAGTCGGATGCAAGATATCTGCAAAAAAGATAAAGGATAATCCGATCTGATCTAATATCAGATTTTGGTATATCTGTTTAAATAATATCTGCGTCGGATGCGAATATAGTCATCTGGGTCGCTACAAAGGATTGTTAATTCCCGCAGCAGGCACTTTAAATAAATTTTGTAAGGATTGATTAACAATTAGAAAGCAAAAAGTATTGAATGCTGCTCAATGTTGACCCCGCCATTGAAAGTTTCGGGCACATGACAAGAGCTAGCGTCCAGGATTATGCAGTTTTATTGTTGAATCCCGCATTGCTGCAGTGATGTAGTGCCCCTAAATTGCTTATTACGTACGTACGTACGTACAGGTTATTGTCACGGTGTACAATTTCTATGGTGCTTCCAGAACTTCAGTAAATACACGCAAAATTGTTCTTGAACGTACGTACGTACGTAAGAGAAATGAATACCGCAAAATAAAAACCCGTAAGTAAAATTAAATTTACATCGTACCAGACTTAGCACACAAATGATGTATAACCAATTTTCTAAGATAAAATTTTTGTCAAGGTAACAAATACCGTCGAGATGGCTAGGCAACGTACGTACGTACATACGTACTTCAAGGTTACATAATATCGATATCTGTCAATTCTTAAGTCTAAGTTTATATTCCTACGTACAGTACCTTACCTCGGTAACACTAATTAATATTTATTATCACTTTAAAATCAAACAATACAAAACACTACTTATCACAATTATTTGTGTAATTGACGATCGTGCTAAAAAAGTGACCAATGAACTTTGAAGTTTGTTACGCATAAAATACATAAAATAGGTTATTTTTTTAACAAATCATTTCCGATAGTCTCTAAACTATGCTCTGTAAATCTCCTTCGTGATATTTATAATGAGTTCGAGAAATTCACCTGAACTTGAACTATTCGAGTCTATATCCGATGATTCTATGGGTCAAAGCCCCGTTCGTGACCCGGATAGGCAAATTGAATTAATTTTTAATTTAATCTACGTATTTCATATATAAATAAAAATTTTTTTAAACTTTTTTAATTTTGCTTTTTTTTTATTTTTTAGTGAGTTATTTTCTTATCGCTGTGCCGGTTATTCGCCCATTCAAATTATGGGATCAGACTATAATCGTTTAAAAGATGATGATGAGTTAAATGACAATCTTATTGTGTTTTATATGAGGTATCGTTGACAAAGGTTGACAAAGTGAGATATACAGTATTTATGATGAATTTTCTTTTAATTGCTTTTAATGCGTATTGTGTATCATAGGTATTGCCTGGAAAAACTTCGTAAAAATAATGAGGATGATGCAAAAAGATATTATCTTTTCGATTCATTCTTTTATCAAAAATTATCAGATGTGAACAATAATTTTAGCAGGTTCGTTCTATCTTGGTTTACCTGTATTCTTTTTACCATTACTTAAATGAATATTATAAAATAAACGATAAAATTCTTTTTTTTTAGAAACAAAAGTAAGGTTTATGAAACAATGTCAAGGTGGATCAAAGTTGATCTCCTTAAATATCAATATATATTTTTTCCGATTTGTGAAGAGTAAGGATTTGACTTTTTTTTTTTTTAATTTAAAATGATTTAAAATGATACTTACGTATTTTCTTGATTAAGTCAACATTGGTATTTAGTACAAATCATCAATCCGGCTGCAATTATTGACAGTCCACTTGATTGTCATATAGCGATTTATGACTCCATTGCACCAAGGTTTAAGCATAGACGTGCTGTGAACATACTTAAAAATTTACTAATCGATTATGTGCAAGATGTTAAAGGTGAAACAATTAATAAAAGCGTAAAGATTTCGCACTCGATCGTAAATACACCAAAACAGTTAAACACAGTCGATTGTGGAGTTTATATTCTACACTTTATAGAAACATTCATGGAGAATTCTAGTGAACTCGAACAAAAAATTATTGACAAAGATACTGATGAAGATCAATGGAACCCTGACGCTTTACCTACAAAACGTCAAACAATTTTAGAAATAATAAAGAATATAGAAACCGAATATCAAACGTAAGAATTTTCATGAATTTTCATGATTTTTCATGATATAATGATTTTTCTAGCTTACAATTTTAATTCTTAATACCGTAATACGTCTTATTTAATAGTCAGGGTTGACTTACACAATTTAATACAGCTACAATACTTACCGTATTGTATAAACCGTAAACTCACGTTAGATGCATAGTGCCAACATAATTAAAAGATGTATTAGAACACGTTATAGGCGATGTTGCAGACGATTATATTGAACAATTTAGACCAAACAATTTTGTAACTTGGATAATTTTTTGATTTTCTTAAAATAGTAAGTAACAACATCGATATTTAATTATATTATTCATCATATGTTTTTAAATAAATTAATATTGAGACTTTTATAAGATTATATTTTATTGTGATACCAATTTATTAATAGAATTACATTTTTTTTTTTTTCTCCTACGATAAAATTAATGGAGGAAGCAAGTGTGCAAGGAAAATTCACAGAGGTAAATAACAAATGATACTAATCCTTTATATATTTTTTAAATTACTATGTGATAATTAATTGTAGTAGTTTTTAGATGGTTTGGCCTGACGAAAAAAGTGAATTCAGAAATATTGTATTTAGGACAAATTTATGTATATATATATATATATATATATATATATATTGTACATTTTAATATTTGGCCTGTTTAGTGTAACATCATAACGATTTAAAATAATATTATTTAGACTAGAATAAATTGGATTACATTATTTGTTATTAACCTTAGAATGTTGTCATTGATGTTGGCGTTGATGTTGCTGTTAAGAGAAGCAATTAATTTATGTTTTTTAAGATTGTTAATTTTAGTTGACGGAAGTCAATTAATCGAATATATCTCGTATCACGGAATGCAGTTAATGTTACGCAATAGAATAGAGTATATAGAGTATCAAATTATTTCAAATTTAAATTTAAATGACTATACTCCAAAGATTTGAAGTAAATTTTAAAGTTATTAATAAAAAATCTTGTATGAATTATTAAATAATCATTAATAAATAAAAAATAGAATGATAAATCATACACTTTGGATTCAATCGATTAAATTTTTTAACGGAAGGACCAACATAAGGTGAAGCCGAACACCAAGTGATAAGGGTAATACAGAACAAAGCCATTTTACTACAATTTTACTTTTGACCTAACGTAACGTGAAAAAAGAACTACATGATACAGTATAACGATAACGATGAGTCAAAAATGTAGATTTTACTATATCTAGACGTTATAATATCCTCATTCTCTTAAAAAGGATTTCACAATAAGCATAAACTTTATTTCGTGTTAAATTTTTAAGTATATATATATATATATATATATTTTACACACACATTATACATTATAGCAATTTTTGTTACGTTTATTATGATAAAAAAGAAAAATTTACAAATTATAACTATCGGGTGAAAAAAAACGTGAGAAAAAAAAAAACACCCGAAGAACATGCATGCAAAGAGAAATATATATATATATATTAGTTTTATTTTCTAATTAGACCAATATATAATTCAAGAATAATAATTCAAAATATAATTCAAGAATAATAATTCAAAATATAATTCAAGAATAATAATTCAAAATATAATTCAAAAATAACTATTTTATCTATTCCCAAGGTAATTTATAATCATGATATTTTGTTAAAGGGTTTTCAAAAGGTAAAAATTGTTCTTTTCTAATAACCTTAATAAATCTTCCAGCTTTTTCCAGCTTTTCATTCGATAATTCGGAAAATTTTAAACCGTTATTACAAGTAAACATCATTCTTCTATCAAATCTATCAAACCTATTCATATGTTGAACCACCCATCTATCATAAGTAACTTCTTCAAGAGTTTTGTAAAATTCGGAATATTTCATTAAAATATGTAAATGTTCATCGGTAATTCCTTTTGTAGAATTTAAACCAACTTTTTTAAAATTAATATGAATGGTAGATCTTAATAAAAGTTCTAATTCTTTTGGAGTAATATAAGAATCTAAATCTAAATAAGTTAAAGATTCAGGAAAAAATTCACTTAATTCTTGAATATAAGTTCCAAAATTTTTATTATTAAATTTTGATTTTAAAATTAATGATTGCAATTTTGAAAATTGTAACCATTTATTAAATTCATCGGTTGTATCAATTTGTTTGATATGAAGAGCCAAGTATTTGATATTTGTGCAAGTCTTCATCATTGCGCTGATTATATCTCTTGATTGATGTGGATATAAAATATCTATTGTAAGTTCTTGTAAACTTTCTTTAACAATACGAAAAATTTCAATGAAACTTGGTCGAATATTTGTTGCATATCTACCATCATCAAAAATATAAAGTTTTTTGATTGAAAGTGGTCTTTCTAAATCCCAAGGGATATTAACTTCAGGTTCAGCGTGAAGTTCCATTACGTTATATAAAACCAATGATTCAAGTTTTTTGCAAGCGGATAATAATTGAAAAGTTTTTAATCTTACGTGAACCATATCAAATCCAAGCCAAGATAAAGTTGAAAAAGTATTTGTTGATAAAATTTTAAGTATTGGATTAATGACCCTAGCCCAACGAATTACGAGAGAATTAAGATGTTTTTGATTTTTGATTAAAGAAATAATTAAAGGATTTAAAACATCATGACCAGTTATATCAATATAATTAAGATTATGAAATGATGAATTCATAGAACATAAAAGTTCGTTTGTACTTTCACGAAGATTTTCAGGAAAATTAATATTTGAATCACTATTACAAATTTTCAAAAAAGAGATATCTTCGGAGAATACTAAAAATCTATTAAAAGTATCTAAAGGAGGTACAAAAATACTATTAAATTGAATAGTAAAATCAGTTCTTTTAATATAAGCGGAATTGAATAAAAGTTTTGAAATTTCTGTCATTAAAAGCATAATTCTTCTTTTAATGATTTTTGTTCTTTGATCATTTGGTTCTCTCCAATGCCAACATAAATATTTTAAATCTTGATCAATATTTTGACTATTACTATACCAATTAATTACAACTTTTTCAAGTTGAGGTAAGTGAAATTCGTAAAGAAATTTTTGATATTGAAATAAAGGTTTTTTAGAATGAGGAATTTTAATACCATGTTGCCTTAAAAAGAATTTGCTTTGAGGATCGAGACAAGCGATATAAGTAGCAATTATATCGGATAACCAAAATTTTCCACCAGTCCAAGGATATTTTATATATTTAGTAGCAAAAGGAGTTCTCCAAATTATAGGAACCATGAGTCTACACCATCTCCTACTTACTAATAAACAAGCGAATCTACATTGAAAAGCGACAAATTCAAATACATTACGAATAATATCATCTGGAAGTTGAGGAATTTTTTCTTTTTCGACAAGTTTATGTTTATCTCGAAGTCTATCAGATCTACGCACACCTTGGAAATTAGAAATAGCTTTTGGTTGTCTAGTGTTTGTAGAAGACACGTTAAAATCAATGGGACTCTTTCCCTGTATCCTCAATGACATGCGCATTGTAATATATATATATACACGTATATACGTATGTATATAATTTTTTTAAATACTGTATATTCAAAAGAAATATTCAAAAGAATAGATTTCTAAAATGAAACGAAGAAAAATAAATAAATAAATTAATTAATTAATCATAAGAATTAAAATGTAAAACAAACAAACAATTACTCTACATTAGTAATCAATATCGTACGTTGAAGATCAACAAAACTTGAAATTTTTTTTGTCAGAAAATATTCCGAAACGGATGTTAAATACAATAAAACACCTATTTAATGTATTTAATGAATTTTTATTACTGTATTAACAACTCCTTTATATCCTTTATATAAATAAAGGTTTGCATATCCATGGGATGTTTACATACCTTTAAGATCACCGAAAAAAGAAATCTGCACTTCAATTTTCAGCCGTGCTCACTTGGTAAACTATTTATGAACATGAAAAAAAAAGATTATAGAATAATTAAACATGTTAATTGATTATGAATTATGACGCTTTTAATATAATGTAAATAATCGTTTATTTCGTTTGTCAAAAATTATGATACTGTACATTCGATCGTCAATGTTTTAAATTTTTTTTTTTTCAATTCAAAAATATTAAAAAATATTAAATTTTGGTAAATATAATAAATTTCAACTCTAAAATGAGTTAAAATATCAAAGGTTTATAAAACATTTAAAATCATTAATTTAAATAATCTTAATCCAATCAAATTATAATAACGAAAAAAACGAAAAGATCCACAAATTCAAAATTTAAAAAAACAAAGCCTCATTTTTATTTAAATAGCGATCTTAACGTCAATCGTCGGTCACACTATCATCATAAACTTATATATATGCGTGAGTTCATACAATCATTGTACGTATGTACTGTACACATGTACATAAAGCTCAAACAATGGGCGCAGGAGTCCGATGAAAAGAATGTAGTACGTACGTACATACATAGCAGAGATTTGTTTTTTATTTAACGTGATCATTAAATTATAAAAGAGAGCATACTTTGGCTTATGATTTACAAAAAATCTCGGGTTTCCCTATCACTATCGTGAATTATAAAAAAAAAACCTCTTATTTTGATGCAGGGAATAGATTCACGTGATATAGTCAATTGCTACCGTTAAGTACTGAATTACGTAGAAATTTTTACAAAATTGGGTCTATTCATTTATGTATAATGTATAATGTATAATGTTAATGTATAATGTATAATGTATAATGTTAATGTATAATGTTAATGTATAATGTTAATGTATAATGTTAATGTATAATGTTAATGTATAATGTTAATGTTAATGTTAATGTATAATGTTAATGTTAATGTTAATGTTAATGTTAAATACGTACCATTGTAAGAATTATCTAAAATTTTAATAACAAAATTTACATACAGATACGTATCAGATACACATCAGCAATCGACTTAAATTGAGGTCAATTTCAAGGATGCCCGGACAAGTATTGTATTAACTCGTCAAAATCCCACGATCAATACATAAAAAGGGTGTATCTTACCTTTATGATGCAATCGAATGATGTCAAAGGTTCCAAATATATTAAATATAAAAGCACATTTGCATAATGATAATGCTGTACAGTAAGCAATTTAATTATAAATCACGTGCATGATTCATTACGCGAATAAAAAAATAGTGATCCCTCCTCGATGACATCAACGTATTTATTCGTTAAAAAAAAGTAGCAATTACATGTAAAATGGCAATTATTAATTTTAGAACATCTTTAAACCTCCATGGTGCTTTATATATCTGGTCACTTGTAAGGTATCTCTTAGTTCTTATGAAAACTGCTCTAATTTAACTTGCTAATTAACATAATTTTTTATTGGATGAAATGTTGCCCGAGTTAAGGACCCAGAAAATTTTGGTTTGTTATTTCTGTTTATATCTCATAAATAATCAAAAAATTTTCTGGGTCCTCAATCTGGGTACATATGTATTACAGTCGATGCATAATTTATCACATGTTTGCAATTTCTTGAACGTTATATTATAAAGACATGACGGAACGTTGCCATACTAACTTGATACTAAAACAAATGTGGTCATTCTTGGAATTATTTTGTTTTAGGTTAGGTTTTGGAATAATATGCTTATCTTGACTCTCGAGTAAAGAGAATTAGCTGATCGAGGTCAGAGAAATGAAATCCCGTATATTACCGATTAAAAGCAACCCCGAATAAAAGCAACCCCTCAGATTTTGGAGCGAAAAATTTGACCACGGTTATTATGTTCTACTAATAAAATTGTACTCGAATAAAAGCAACCCCTTCATTTTGGCTCGTAAAAGTTCTCATTTTTTTTGCAATATTTTGGTTGCTTCTATTCGGTAATATACGGTACTAGAATTTTTTCATCGTGTGATGTAGATTTTGTATCTGGTATAGAATATTTTAATTCAAATATACTTAAAAAAATAATAAAAATAAAATTTTTCTAAGAGTAGTTACGTATTAAGAATCTTAAAAAAATCTTCTTACTTATTAATAAAAAATTTTTTTAAAAAAATTTAATTAAAATTTTCTTGATAATTACCTACACTACAGTGTAGGCATCCTTAAGCCAGCAAGTCATAAATTTAGCGGCCAAATTTAAGTATATGGTACACAAAATAAATTAATATAGTATAAAGAAAAGGAGGAAAATAGTGTGAGAGTGTGGGTGTGAGTGAAAGGAAGAGAGAGAAAAAGAGAAAAAGAAAAAGAAATTACAAAAAAATTAAAATTTGAATATATTTATAATAATTTTTTAATTAATATTAATAATTTTTGGCCAGAATTATGTTAATTTCAAATAATTTTGACCAAAATTAAAATGGAAATTTATTAATAAAATTGGAGAACTTCAAAAGGATATAGCTCTATTAAATATTAATTAACTAAAAAATAAACTTTGTAACTTTGTTCTTTAAGTTTTATTTTATTATTTTACGAAGAGATTTAATTTATAACTATATATCTTAGTTTTTTATTTATAAACTTTTAAAGATTATGTATTTTATATGTTGGTTTAAGGATGCCTGCACTGTAGTCAAACGATTAAGGTCGAATGTTACATTCAGCCTTAATGAATATTTATAGTCGAAATTATAATTCAGCCTACAAATTTATTGACTATAAATTTATACATAGGTCGAATAAGGTCAATTTCGTATATAATTTCATAGGCTGAATTTAACTACACGTCGACATTTTTGAGACATTAGTAAAAAAAATTCAACAGCGAGTTATACCGACATTTTATATTAAATTTTTGAAAAAAATGTTGGTATAGAAAGATTTTACTATGATGTTATATCCAGATGTCGGTATAACCAGAGTGACGTGTAGTGCTAAATTTATATGAAAATTTTTTTTATTCAAATTCATAATTATGTAAAATTAAAAAAATTTTCAGAGATTGGTTAGATAATTGTTAAGAAAACTTTGCTCAAAGTTCTAAAAAAAAATAAGTATAATATCTTATAACAGGCAAGATTTTATAACTTTCCTCAATAACTACTTAGCCAATTTTAATAAAATTTTCTTGTTTGAATTTTACGTAGTTCTAGAATTTATATAAAAATTTTTTTATTAATAAAAATTAATAAAGATTTTAACTACAAGCAAGTTACTCTCGTTATCATAAACTTTTACAGATTAACCAATAAAAAAAATCTTTTATTACAAGTAATTACTCTTGTTGGTACTGTATTCGTTTAATAATTTTTCTAACGCATTTTAAATCCTATTAGTACCATATTTTCGCGTAAAAACGCGTCATCTGCGCGTTATTTTCGCTATTTCGAATCATTTTTTATAATAGATTCGATATTGACAAATACAAGTAAATCTTGATATAAGAAAGGTGATAGGCCAATAGTAAAAGTTTTACAAAACTTTCTTATATCGACTTTTGACTTATCGAATTTAATCTGTATGTGCCAATCAAGTTCAGGGACGCGTTATTTTGAGTAAATTTCAAATAAGTGAAATTTTAAAAATGCGTAACACTATTACACGCAAATACGGTATGCAGAATTTATAAAACAGAATGCAGTGTTAATGAAGCTTCTTAGAATTTTATTATTATAATAAAGAAAACTTTGCAATTTGAAGAAATAAAAATTTCTAAGAATCATGTAATCTGAAAAGTATGATAATATATTAAATATTAATTTATAATATTTAGTAACATGTTTTCTTCTCTGATTTTTAAAAGAACATCAGCGACTGTCCATGGAAAACTTAACAGTCTCTTATCATCACTAGGATCTGGAGATTCATCATCATAAGTTACGTAATACCAAGCTGATGCTTTAGCTTTTGTTTCATTAGTGATTGGAATATGTAAATGATAAGTGCCATTGTCAGTATTAACATTATCTACATTATCTTGTAATCCTGCCAAAAAACGCTTTCGATGTTTATGAATTATATAGGAAATTGTTCCTGATATAGATTCACGAATATCTTGAGTTTTTCGTCCGTCTACTCGTCGAAAACCAAGAAGATTTGTTGTTATGATTTCGGGTTCTGTTTTAACCCTAAATTTTTTCATTAGACTACGTATTTCATTGTTATATGTGTCTCTACATATTTCGGCTTCTTCTAAATAATTTTCATATCCTTGTGCAAGGAATTCTTTTTTTGGAACAATGTTATCTGATTTGTAATTTAATAATGGGTCATCTTTCGGATGATCAACTTCTATATTTCTATATAATTTGCCTAGAATCTTTTGCGACTTATATTCACTCTTAGTTTTATTTTCCATAAAGTCTGGATATTCATCCATTATTGGAAGCTTTTCGATTACAGGAACACCAGTCTTATTAAAATCGACTGCCTTTGAATGCTGTAATATGATGTAGCATTAGTTTTAGTTACAAATAAATTCTGTGTCAAGGAATCAAATTCCATTTACCAGTTCTGCTAATTTCAAACATTGTGGGTTATATACACCCTCTTGCTGAAAATCTGCAATTGCTAGATGTAAATTTCCAATTATTCCAATACGATCGTTTTTCATGAAATTTATAAAGACTTCGCGAATATCCGAAATCTCCACTGGTCTATCCAAAGTTTTTCTTTTTGGAGGACTATAGTCCATAGGGTCATTATCGATTTCTGGAAAGATACGTTCGTCAAAACATACAAAAAATTCATCTCCATCTAAAAATAAGAAAGTATAAAGAAATATGAGATATTTAAAAAAGATAATAAAAATCATTAAGATGATATATAAAGTGACATACCTAAATCACCACCACTCTGTTAAAAAATATAAAATATAAGATCATGCTACAACAAAATATAAAATCGCAATGATAGAGACTATAAATAATACAAACCAAACAATTAGGTAATGGTTGTTCTCCTTTTTGACTGAAAACAACACAATTTTTAAGATGGCTTAATTGTGGAACATCTACAGCCCAGACGATTTTTATATCACCAGGATGTAAACTTGGATTTCGCGCAATTACTGTTCGGATAACATTCATAAAAGAATTACACGTATATTATGGAATGTGATTATTGTGAATGTAAAATAGATCATTAGCTATTATTACTACCTGCAGGACCGGTTAACACCTATAATATTTATATTTAATGCAATATTTAATAGAAATATTTAGTTTCTTAAAAGACCTCACGCTCGCTCAATCGTTGTAGTAAATAGAAAAAAAAACAAACTTCATGTTTTCTTCGAGTTTTATTTTTAGCCGTACTAAACGTGTTATTTTCGGATATTATTGTGGAAGTCTGTATGTAAATTTGATCTTTAAAAATATATTGAATACATATCAGTATTCTTCTATAATTATTACATCATACTTTGAATAATAATAATAATAAGTATTTTTACCAGGTTCAAGAATTCCAGTCTCATCGAGGACTCCAAATAACGTGTATCCTTGTGGGACTGGAATACGCGCTTTGTATCTTAAGCTTTTTAATGCAGATATCCGCTTGCATTCTAAGAGTCCCTTTAAATAAGGTTCCTCATCCTCTTCCATTAACCCCTGTAAACAGAACGTAATATACTCTTAATATTATGAAATACGTTAAATTTAGTAAAATTTAATAGAAAACACTAACCACTTCAATCATACTAAGGATAGTGCGAGTAACATGAGAACATTCCTTTGCTCCCGAACTTCTTTTCACCATCTCGCTGGCCTTCAGAGGATCTCGCATCACAGAATCAATACTCGTTCTTGCATTATTTTGTAGTTCGACAAAAATATCATCTTTAACGCCAAGTGAAGATAATAACATAATAATTTGCCTATTTAGGTGTGCAGGTAATGGTTTTTTCACTGCTTTTACAATTTCTAAATTCATCGCGATTGGTGCTTCAAATTTTATTTGACTAGGGCGTATACATATAACGTTCCCATCTAAATCTGGATTAACGGAGACAACTCCCTGAAAAAAAGATGTATATTAATGTTTAAAAAGACAAACTGCATTAAAACTAGTTTATTTCAAAATTACTTTATACCTTATAACCTCCGAATCTAAACTGAAAGACAGATGGTATTTCATCATTTTGTTCTGTACCCCAGTAATGCTTGGTTGCAACTTTTGCAAGGCCTGGTGAAATATTACCACAACCATCACTAAAGTATATTAAAATGATAATTAATAATTTTTAAAAAAATAAAATCTTAACAAAAATGCAAATTTATATACCTAAATACAAAGCCATTTCGTTCAATATCTGGAATTTTTTCTATCTGGTCCTCATTTAGTTCTAGAGTACCGATTGTGCTAGTAAAGCATTGGCCCATCCGAGCGGCATACAATGCGGGAGCTTTAATATCACTATGATGATAATTTTAAATTACAATATTTATCAACAAAAAGTCATATAATCGTATAATCATAAAATATATAGAATTTTAATCATTTACCTAAAATCTCCCATCAATTCACGTATCATATTTGCATTAAAATCCTTATCTGAGGCTACGAACCAACATGAGCATTCACGTAACTGTGAAGATGAAAAAGCAAGAAATTCATACTGTCTTCCAGCCACCATGAACCCATCTTTTAATACTTTACTAATTCTAAAATCATATAAATCTGTTTCTTGTTCATTAAATAATCGATCGAAATTTTCTTCTTTAAATGTAACGCGAATAAATTTATCAACGTGTTCCGGATATTGTCGAAGAATACGATTCGAAGATTCATATTCCGGGCCATTGAAATAAATTTTAACTGGTGTTATAGTCGCGTGATTTATCCAAGCGTAACGATTATTGTCGTTTAAATAAATATTTGGATTGGCCGGATGCCATTCATCATGATTTCCTCTGAAATTGTTTAATGCAATTCCAAAGATATCAACTGGTCGTTTATTATATCTATCATCAGCCGGATCCCAGTGTTGGACTGCCATTTGATTAAGGCAATGCCATGCCATTGTCTCCTTTTCTTCCAAAATAAGATTAATCAACTTTTCACCAATTTTATACTCCATAATTTCATATATTGTTATTATTCCATGTGAAATTAAAGATTCTAATTTAAAACAAATTCTAAATGGTAAAATTTCAAATATTCCTTTAAGATAAGACTCTGGATTTTTTGGTGTTTCCTCACATGAGACTATACATTGAGGAATACAAGTTGGGATACCAGGGATTTGCATGTGATTTAAGCGGTTTCTGATCTCCTCAAGATTTTCAGTAAATATCAGGCGGTATACTAAATACCTTCCAAAAGCGTTAACACAACCTGTCCAATCGGTTGTTCTAATCCATTCTTCTTCTACGTAAGTATGATAAAGTAATCTGGTATTTTTTCTTATTTGTGTAGATTCATTAGTTTTGCGTAAAAGTATGGGTGAACATTTAAGTGATATATATAAAGAAATGAAATCATTTTTGCATTCTCGAAGGATTCCACGATGAGATTCCATTAACCAACGAATCGGTATTTTAATTCGTTTTTCATTTTTAAGATCTGGTGGATCTGATGGTAGGGTAAATCCGTCTATAATAATTGCATCAGATTCCTTAGAGATGCACATGGTGGGTTTAACATAATAACCCGGGTATTTCCAATCACATAGGAATGTCCATTTTTGCGTAGGTAATTGACGTCTTCCACGTCTTTTATGATCGGCTATCGGTAGTTGACCTGCCCAGTTTCCAAGTTCAATACTCGAAATAGGGTATTTTGGTTCATTAGCGTTATTTAAGGTTTCGATGTAACGTCTCCTTTTTTTTTTATTCTGAGTTTCACTTATATTTAAGAACCTATTCATGCAAAGTGGTGCATCAAAATCTCCTTTACTTATTAGGTCATCTGCATCGTCATCATCAAGGGTAACAAAAGCATAGCCACCATTGATGTGTCGAGGGTTTCCTTGCTTGTTTTCAGATAATTCACACCTAATAACTTTTCCTTTAATGTGCAGTTCCAATGCGTCGACTACATTATTTGCGTTGGCTCCGTAAGGTATATTGTTGATAAATATTTCTTTAGGCATTCTAAAAAATCTAAAAGGTAACGAATTTGAAACATTTATTTTAGTAGATGCAAATATATAAGATTTGCAATTTCATTTGATAGATTTGGACAGTGTGAATGATTGATCTATTTGGAGAATATCATCATCAAATTTGGATGTTCCATTATGCAAAAATTAGCTCTGACAACAGGTATGTGCAGATTAAATGCTATTTTTTTGCAACATGAGACGTATATCTCAACAAACTAAACCTTAAATTAATTGTCATCAAATTGTTATCGAAATTCTGAATTTAATTATCAAAATTCTCGTGTGACGTAAAACGGTTTTCTAACTAAAAATTCTTTGGGGAATTTTACTACGGTTAAGATTTTCGTGACCAATCGGAGCAACTCTAAAAAAAGATGGTCTGCCTTTTTTTTTTTCATTAATTACCGATTAATTAATATTTTGCTTCTGATTTACTGAGCGAAGTGCTTGAGAACCCTTCAAATTATTATTGACCGGAGACAAGAATATATCCATATTTTAGTGTAGCACAAAAACTTATGATCATTAACCAATCAAATCATTATGAAAATTTTTGTTAGCTTCCGGACACAATGCAGCATATTTACCTATTATTATTCAAATTTCTAATAAAGGTCGTAGAGGCTGCTTTCGTAATTCTACGTATTTCGTAACGGTAAAATTTTAAAGACTAAAATTGGCAATTGTGATCAAAAATAAAATCTTCATGACCATAAGGTTTTATTACAAATTTATAAAGAAAATTTTATATACTTTTAGCGATTTTGTCATCAATATAATCAAAGACTGCATCTAAAACTTATTAAATATATATATTAATTATATACGGTATTTATATTATACGTATCAATAATAATATTATTATATGAGCTGTCGCAAACAAATTAGTATTTTAAAAAAATTAATATCTTTTATCGATGAATTATGTGAATGTAATATATATATATTTTAAAAAAAAATGTCAATTTGCGATTTTAAATTAAACCTAATCAAGAGTAACTCTGAAGAAATAGATGGCTTTAACATTCAGGTCATTTTCGACTTAGGGTGTTCTCAAGCATCTCAGCATCACAATAAATGACGACATTTATAAATTAAATGTTTGAGCGTACTCTTTCT